GTCGATGTTGATGTTGTTGTTGTTGTTGTTGATGTTGATGTTGTTGTTGTTGTTGTTGTTGTTGTCGTTGTCGTTGTCGTGGTTGTTGCGTTGTTGTTGCGGTTGCTGGTGCTGTTGCTGGCGCTGGTGCTGGTGGTGGGTGGTGGTAGTGGTGGTGGTGTCGTTGTCGTTGTCGTTGTCGTCGTCGTTGTGGCTGTTTCTGCTTGTGACTGCATACAGGAATCGGCTTGAAATCCTGGACAACTGGCAACTGGAAGCCAAGGGCGTGTCCTAGGTCTGCAGTTGGTATGTTTCGTTAACCATTACAACTGCACCTAGACTAGCCATTACAGCTGCCTCTAGCTCTCGGAGCTTTCGCTTCTTGCACCGAACTTCCGAAGTCTTCTTCAACACACCCATCTGTTGGTTTCCAGGGGATGCATGGTCACTCGTACATTCCAGGCTCAAGTTGGGCGATTCCTTCTGGCTTTCTATGACAGAAGTGCAACTGGGCAGCAAGGACGTCAGGCGCTGCAGCACGGCACCAAACTGAATTCTCATGCTGCCCAGTTCTGCACCAGACCGCCGCCACATTGCCGTTTGTGCTGCATCGCGATCCTATGCCATAGAGGCAGCCGCACTCTTGTGTTTCGGGCCTCAGGCGGAGATTGCGGGCTTGGACGATTTTCTCCAACCTGGCAGTGCATCCATGAAAGCAATCGAATGCGTGCGAGGCTAGTCGGCTAGTCTTCGGTGTGTGCCGCAGAGCTGTAACAGCAACACATGACTTCCGGCACAGAGCCGCGAAAGGTGCCCAGCAAAGAATTCCTGGCTGCCATAGCGATGAGGAACAGCACTACAGTCACTGTCACTACATTGATCTATTTTCGACTGAGTGGTTGTCCAGTTCTGCATGCACGCATGATCTGCCTGCTCAGGCAAAGTTAAAGAAGCCTGAAAGATGGAGGCGGGCACAAGCTTGAAGGTGGACTTCTGAATCATGAAGCACAACACTGGACCAGTGACGAGCTTGACAAGCATCCCTGGTCTTCGAGTTCGACTTGACATCGATGGTGGCATAGGGTGGATTGCGGACACGACATCGTTCTCGGTCGAAGCACACTGGACTCGCTGGAAACTGTTGTGCGAGCGAACAGGGTGAGCGTCTTTTTTGAGACTCCGTGTCACATCGCATCTGCTCATTGCCGTAGGTGCGCAACCGGGAATTGACATAGAGTCAGTTTGCAAGACCGATTGCCGTTTTATCACAGCGGATGACAGTTTAGTAGGTTTAGCTTCCGTCTGGAGCATCCAAGCTAGAGCCTCAGAGATGGGAGGCAAGGTGCTGCCTTTGCATGGATACGGACATGATAGCGTCGCACATACATGGTCTTGACCTTAACGTGTGTGATTCCGCATTTGTTCTGTGAGAGGCGACCGCTGGCGTAATGAACACCAAAGCTGTTTTCAATACAGGGGAATTAACCTTTCCCACGATCTTGGTCTTCGCTTGTGCATCGGCTTGGTAGATCCAGCCGCCTGCGCTCCGAGGATGGAAGTCCATGTGGAAAGTGCAAATCCTGACATGTTACCCAAGTCCTGTTATGCCTTCTGGCAGCACGATGCATTGAACTCTTTGGGGGGAGATTTGCTCAGCCAGAATGTACTTTTTGGATACTCAACTGTTTTGGCTTCTTGCTTGTTGGGGTAATTGGTGAGTCAACAACTATCACGACAACGACAGCGACAGAATAAAATGTCAATCTTGACAGGAGGTTGTTTGTTCCTGACACTATGCGAGTATCTTCATCCTCTGATGAGCCTGCCTAGTGCTGCAAAGCCCAGTATGGTGCAACGTCGAAGGTTGAAACCAGCCGAAAGCTGTTTAGCACAGGTAACCTTCAACCGGATCGAATGCCGAAAACAATATCTTGCAATCCCGAAGCCTGCCAAATGCTGCAAGCTCGAGCCTCCCACAACATTGAAGCGCGCCTCATGCCGCAGACACATGACAAGACTGAGGAGGGCACATGCTGCTCCATATGGAGCGTGAAAACAGAGCTTTCCGGCTAGCAGGCGCAGTTTCGACAAATCAACACCAGATCCGGATCCTTCCGCGGACATCCATCAATCCATTGATGCAAGGGTTCGAAGCTAGCGACTAGTGGCTGCGAGTAAGCTCCCACATGAAGTGTCACCCATTGGAACGACACGAAGGACGTGGATGTGCAACTTGATGTGCTGCTCTTTGTTGCTAAGGTGAGTGTGCGCGTGGGTGAAGTGCTCAAGCAAGGCAGATACGAACCTCAGAGAGCCACTGGGACGGATCATAATGTTGGGCATGCCACGAGCTTCTAGCCTCATTCGACAGGCGACCAGGCAAAACTACACTGCATGCAAAAGGCTTTTGGACGAAAGAGCTTACGAAGATTTCGCAGGACCAGGACGCACCTTGAAGTGGTGGTGCTTCTGCATGGTGTCCCCAACCGAATCCACACCCTACCCATATTGCACGGCCCATGATCCCAGCATGGACGGGCAGAAGGCAAGATCACACCTAAAGGTAGACAGTGTCAAATTGCCCAGTTTGAGGCCTATACTTTCCCAGCAATCGATCGCCGGCGCGTGACTGGGCAAGCGGATGAGCATAGGCAACCTTCACGTTATGTTGCAGTTTAGGAATTGAAGGGCAGGTCTTACCTTCTGAGATCGCCGCGGGCACTGAGGACGTGCGCATCGACGTCTACCAGCACGTGGGTAGCTACTCAGTCTCGATTCCACTCCAAATTCTGCGGTCTCTTGCGCAGTGAAGTTGGTAATGGAGCCTGTGCAAGGTTGCATCCTGTCGGCCGAGCCGGACAGCGCTTCCATTCACGATGTCTTTGCCACCAGCACCCACCCGGATTTCCCGGCCATGAAGTTCAAGGTTGGAGAGATTTCGGGGTCGCATCACGTCGCGTTTGCACCGGGCAGGTGAGTATGTCCACGCGGTCCGAGGAGGTTCAAAAGTCCAAGACCGATAGGGCTGCCAAGATGAAAGGGAGAGCCAAGGCACGGCAGCGCAACCACCCTACCAAGATTACAGCCTCGGAGACTGTCCAGCCGGGCTTGAGGCTTTTGGGGTTAGAGTGATAGAAACCTATCCTCGCAGGAGTATCTGGGAAAGCATCGAATCGAAGCTTCTCGGTGATGCACAGCCGTCTCGCAGCCCTTCCCTGATTCATGCAGATCCCGTTGTGCCAGTTGGGTCCTGTCCCGCCATTGTACAAGCCATATCGCTCCGGATCATATGTCTGCGCTTACATACAGCCACATGCATCTGTTGCGTCACCCCGTAGCATGCAGTTCTCGATTCGCTTTGCAGCAGTGTCGGACCTGAAGCTGTGTGGTCGTCCTGGACCTAGTAAGTGCAAAACCGATCAGCGACTGTCCAAGGAAAAGCTTTCCGAAGCAGTCAAGGCTGTCAGCAAGGGCAGCATAACGTCAATGGCTGTGCGCAGAGCCGACCGCAGAGCCCTTGACTCTTGGGTGATCTTGGGTATGGGGATCAGGAGACAGGGCCCAATCGCCAGTTTCTCGAGGATCTGCGATGCACATATCCACGGCGAATTTAGTGCTCGTTTTCTTGCTGCTCGTGCTCTTGATGCCTCATACTCCACTTTCGCCTGCTTTCGCAAGGCCTTGCTGAAGGACCCGGATTCGGAGCAAGGGCTTTCCAATGTTGATCGCTCCAGTCATGTGCTGTCAGAGACGCTTGCATCGGTTCAGATTGGCCATGCACGGCCTACCTTGGTTGCACATGCACGAGTTCATTCTCTGAATACAGGAGCAGCCTGCTGATGCTGTCGACTTCGTTTGCAAATACTTGGCAGCACTTTGGCATGCACGGCAGGGTGAGACCAAGAAAAGCCGCCGCATGCACTCCATTGACACACCATGCCTTGCAAAAAAAAGGTGCGGAGAGATTTCAGGATACTGGCAGAAGCCAGAGCAAAGGCACTGCACGCACTTCGCGCTATCCTGAGGGCACAAAGAAAGACTCGGAGAAGGAGAAGCAGCTCCCACCCTTGGCCTCCGGTCGCCTGGACACGAGAAGAGCCTCTAAGTCTCTCTCTGTCCCCCTCTCTCTCTCTCTCTCTCTCTCTCTCTCTTGTGACCCTATAGGGTCTGACACGGCGAAGGCAGCACCAAGGCCGCCTCCCGGCCCCTGCAGAAGGACAAGGCGAGCTCGCTCCGTTCTCTCAGCTCTCGTTCTGGGAGCGGAGCGCTTCAGCGAATTTCTGAGTGTCAGTGAGGAGCCGGAAAAGGTCGGCGAGGAATCCTTTGTCACCATCGACGGGACAGGGGGGCCAAAGCTCTCGACGCTCTTCGAAAGATCTCGCTTAAGATTCGAAGTGATTCGCTGAATTTCGCGGCAGGACAGGGCCACCAGCCGCAAGCGAAGCTGAGGAGCGGAGCAGAGCACGGCGCAGAGCGCGGAGCGGCACTGAGCGGCACGCGGAGCGCTTTGAAGCCGCCAGCGCAGGACCCACGAAACGGCGACTTGCCAGCAGTGCGATCGCAAGTTTGCCAGCTCCTCGCAGCTCGGATGCACCACGACGCACCCCCCATCCGTTTTGTCGCTTATGGGCAGAGTTGTTGTGTGTTCGAAGTCTGCAGGTCGAGGCCGCGGAAAATGGGCAGCTGGAGTCGGCTCTGAGGGACGCAAAGACCGACCCGCAGGAGGCACTCGTGTCACTCGTCCTTGGCCGGAAGCTCACATTGAGTTGCCCCTGTTCCGCTTTTCCAGGCAGCAGCTATGAATGGAGTCCGAATGAAGACAGCGAACCTTCTCATGCAGGAGGGCCTTGAAATTCTCGAGCGGTCCGGCATGGTCCGGCATTTCGAGTTGTGCTTTTTCCGGTCAGGCGGCAGACAATGGCGACCTGGAAGAGGCCAACAGAACTCCCTGCGGCATTGCTGGCGCTTCTGCGAGAGAAAACGCTTCAGGCCATACGTCAGATCCAGGAAGGACCTCAGAACGATCAAGTCCGTCTCAAGGCACAGAAAGGGTTCTAGTTCTAGTTCTAGTCTAGTATGCTCTTGCAAAGGTGGGTTGTGGTTTCCTGACTCCAGCTGGCAGTTAATTTCCCCATGCAAAAATCTGTTGCGAAGTTTTGGACCTTACGCGGACAGAGCCCTGTGGTATGTCAGTATGTCCAAATATGCGCAAGGACTCTGACTTCGATTGGAGCGCATCGTAGCGTGTCATTTGCCAGGTGGCCAACTTGCTTATGACGGCTTCAGAAAACGGAGACCTGCACAAGGCTCTCACGGAGATAAAGGAGACTTGCGCGCAGCCACTCCAGCGAATTTTAGTGCTTGTCGGACCACCTTGAGGAAAACAAAACTGGCGACAAGAACATGAGTAAGGACGAGGCGCGTGAAAGAGCCGCCGGCTTGCTCATCGAGGTTGGGTCACGTGTCTCCCGCAAAGTACCATCCGACTTCAGACACAGGGCACGGACAACACTTCTAACTTCTATCCCTGCAGGCTGCAGAGAACGGGACGTTGGAGCAGGCCGTTTCATCGCTGTTGAACGAGCCACAAGTGCACGTGGATCCCAAGATAGGTCGAGCAGCTTCTGCGACCGATGTTTTTGACTCTATGTGTTGCTTGATTCCAACCGTTAGCCCCGAGTCCCAAACACCTGTGCACCGCTAGCGGTTCGGCGGTTCAAGACGATGAAATTCAGTCACAGAACACCGAAGGCACCAAAGGTCCCTAAACGCCGCCCTTTTGCGGCAAGCTGAATTAAACCGTGTGGGGTATGTGTTTCGGCTCTCACAAGTTTGTCGTAAAATGAGTGGCCTTCGCTGTGCCTTGCCTCCCCATTCTCTCGAAGACTCAAGCCGTTTGAACAACAGCTTGTTTGGAGACTCGTGATGAGTCAGGTGTGACTTTCGAATGGCTGGAGCTTCACCTTGTGTGTCTGCGAGATTCTGCCAGAGTTGCAACAGGCGTTGGCCGAGCTCAAGACCCGGACAGCCGACGAGCTCACCACGAGGGCTCCTGTGCAGCAACCATGTTGTCATGAAGGCACTGCCAAGCCTGAATTCGCCTTACACAGAAATGCTTGCAATCTATGGCAGTCACATCCAAAGGTTGCCAAGGCCCTTTTCGATGCCATGCAGAACGGAGAGCTGGAGAAGGCAATGTAGCGTTGAGACACTGTTGAGGCCAGTATGGAATGAATGGTGGAGAGTGGCTGCAGGCCATGGCAGCAATGCCGACGGACACGGCTCTGACCGAGCCTGTGCCTGAAAATTCATCTCAGCCCGCCGCAGAGGCGGAGACCCCGGCCGCTTCGGACCCAACTCCAGCCGATCCAGCTGCGGCTGAGCCGGAAAAGCCATCCCAGCCCACCAAGGAGCTTGAGGGAAAGGCCGAAGTCGTAGAAGAAACCAACGCCTCCGGGAACGCAGCGTAGGGCGTAGCCACGCATGGCCCTTCACCATGGCCCAGACATTCAAGCAGTTTTCTTACTCCGAAGCCTTACTCATAGTGTGCTTTTTGGGATCACCGATGTCCCTGGAGGCGCATCGTCTCACAACACAATCTGTGGAGTCTCCATGAGTCTCCTGGAGGGTGGAGTGCTTTCATGCTCATGTTGAAGGCTCACTCGCTGGGAGACCCACGGAGCGCCTTCATTGAGAAATTTGCACGCCTGAGGGTCGCTTCTCTGTAGTCGTTCACACATCTGCTTGGCGAATAGCTATGGCAGATGGTTCACAGATGTTCATGGGAGATGGGTGGATGTCTTGATGTTGCCGATATTGGGATCAGATTACTTACATCGGGCACCATCCAGTGGATTTACGGTGGCACTTATCCACCCTGTTCCGTGCCTGATTGCATTGATAGAACAACTGCGTAGGGATTCCGCGCCTGGGTACTAATCACGCGTTTAGTACCAGCAGTTGTCAGTCGCGTATCCACGTCCTTTTGGTGCACATGCCTGCGCAGTGTTTAAGCCGCTGAAGAAGGGGGCAAGAGTTATTGCAAGAGCCAAATGCGAGCTATGTCGAGCTCATCGGATGCAGAGGTTTGTTACCTTTGTTTGCAATTTCAACACAAGCACGTCGAGGAGATGTTGATCGGTGTCTCTGGCTATGCCTTTGGCTCACAGTTTTGGACACGGCATGGCACAGCACATTCCATCAACAGCGTACGTGCTCATGCATCTGTAGCCGCTATTGCTAAAGAGACCTTGCGCAGTACGATGCAGGGCAGATGCTAGACAGAGCAAAGTGGCGTGGTATAAGCATCGCAGGCAGCAGGACCAGTAGAAAGCGCTAGGGAGATTATCGCTTCCGCTGGCCAGCTTGCAGCAAGGCCAAGCGGATAACGTTAAGTTCAAAAAGAACTCAGCCCGAAGATCCTGCAAAGGCCCACGGAGACCGTACATGTTCAAGCCAGCAGTCAAGCATCTGAACGAGTCGCAGGCAGTGGTGCGGATGGTGCTTCTCCCCTCTACAGTGGCGTTTCCACTGCGCCAGCTTGTGAAGCTTGGCCACTGTGTCGCAACAGTGTCTAAATCTTGAGTTGACAATCTGTGTGTCCGTGAAAAGACCGGGGTGCCCAATGGTCCGTTTGAGGCCTCATCCTCGTGCAGGACAGTTCGTGGGATGCGGAAAGCAGAGTTCCTATTTTGCGTTTGGCGGCAAGTAAGTGCCTGCCCCGTGGCGATCATTCCTTGTCGTGGTCTTCGTCGCGCCGCTTTCATTCAATGCATATTGCCGGATAGTGGGCGACATGCTCGAACTGCTGCTGCACGATATTTTGCCTGCCATGTTTGCAGGCATGACTTGTTCGGTGTGAATCGAAGTCAGATATAATACAACTCTGAGCGACCTGACGATCTGTCAATTTGCATCTTTGGCGGTCTGAATGCCTTGGTCATTGGTCGAGTGCTGTCGCACGCGCTGCGTGGAGGGTTACACGAATGGCTTTCACTGAGTCATTCAACATGCTGCGGCTGCTGCGGAGCACAAAGGGAAGACTGCAGCACGAACACCGGCTTTGGAGTCCTTCAGGCCACCTTCCTTCTCTACTTCGCATATGCTGCCTATGCAGCAAGTCTGCAACGAAGTTCATTCTGCTCTGCAACATCGGTGTTGGCTGCACATGCGCTTAAGGATATCCGTCTACACGCCATCCGGACGCACCCCGGCCAAAAGCTGTTCGGTACTGACCGTCCCAGCCATCCCAGCGTCCTGCAACGGATTTCCTTCATGCGATGCTTCAGTGTAAGCTACGTCATGTGAAGGTTTGGGCACATCATCCACGAATTTGATCCGTGGTTTAACTACCGGGCTGCTGATGCTTGACTGCAGAGACACTCTAGAAGAGCTTGTAGTGTGGTTGTGCTTTCCTGCTACATTTCCTTGCGCAGGATGGGAAAGGTGCACTCTGTTTTTTTTGCAACGGGCAAAATGAACAATCGACTCAAGAGCAGAGATTATATACATGTCGTAGAATGCATTGGCGGCCGCAGAAAAGCATCGTACCTGGGACACTGAGACACACGGGAGAAGTCACTGTTGGTCAGAAATGACATGACTGATGGCATGGTCACATGATACAGCCCAGGAGTACCTGGCACAGCACGGGCTGTCCAAGTTCTTCAAGTGGTACGACTACATGTCATGGTATCCAATCGGACGCCCCATAGGCCAGTGGGGCCCGGGCACTTGCACGATCAAAGCTTTGAGGTCGTCTTTTGTCGAGTTGCTGCGGCGCGGTTGCCTGTGCCGTGAGCCGTAAGGCACGACGATTTATCCTGGAATGCAGATGTGGGCTGTTGGCATTTGGGAGGCTGGCTGGGAGACGCAGAGTCAGACTCTTTTGATGGCAACGCTGGCAGGTGCTGAAACACGTCCCCGAGAGGAAGGCACAGACCCGCGAGAGACTTGCCGTCCTTGCTTGGGACGTCTTTAGCTTTCCCTGCAAAGCGTGTGGTATGGCATGTGGACGGGTTTCAGCTTTGAGCCAGGGGTCCAGCACACGGCCAGTGAACCCGCAAACTCTGTTCAGGGTCCTCAAACTTCAGGGTGAGTATTCCAGCCCTGCACCGACAGTGCCAAACAGGTCCCTTTGCCTTTCATCCCGCCCCTGCGGCCGGTGGCATCTTGGGCACGGAGGCGGTCTGACTGCCGACTGCTGGCCGACAGCCGTCTTCAATGAGAATGATTTGCAATCTGCACAGGAATGGCTGGCCATTTATCCCTTCGCCGCTGAAGCTCCCTTGCTGCACACACTGGATTGGTCCTTTTTTGTGTGGCAGGGTAGCTGTCTCCTGATTCCCATGACAAGCAAGGTCCACGATGGCAGTTGGGCCAATGTCAGTTAATGACATTTGCTGCATGATCCCACCATGGCGCCTTGGCTCGGACAGCTTCATGTGTCGCAGCTAGGGTGCCGTGGGATTCTCTGTGTAGTCACGGTGAATGCTACAGCTGTGGCACAGATACGTTTGGTGCCTGATTAGGTAAACGAGTCTTCCCTCGGGTTGCTCAGTAGTTGAGCGCCCGGGTACGTGACTACGTGCTTCGTTCTTGCTCGAGTTGACCGCCTGACTGACTTACACCATCCCTCAGGTAGACTGCCGTAGCCAAACCAAACTTGGCGAGGAATTCGCACAGTTCAAGTTCTTGTAGGTCACCCTCACCACCCCTCCTCTGCAACGTCACTTGAGCTTAGCTGAGGTTCGGCTCTGTGGCACCTCAGCGCTTTCGAGATGTGTTTGTCTTGTGTAAGCAGCGCTCGCGTTGGTTGTTAGCGTTGCAAAGGTCGGATTCAGACGCCTTGCAGGCTTTCGGCCAGTGTATACTTCGCAACCATCAGCATGAACGTGACTTCCCTCAGCCTAGGCCGGTCGATTTCAACATTACTGAGAAGTCTCTTCCCCAATGGCAGCTACTTTAGCGTGCCGCATTGTGAGATGTAGGAACTGAGCACTTAGGGCCTGGCCTACAAGGCAGAAGGGATCACAACTAGGGAAAGCTGCCCACAACACAGGGATCATTTGTGCCCTTCGTCCAGACAGGTGCGTTTGATTCTCAAAGCCTCTGAGCTAGAAGTGTCTCTCAGCCCAAAGGCCTCGAGCACATTGTGAGGAGCAGCCGTCTCGCCTCATCGCAAAGGTTTCTCCCGCAAAGCGTGCTGATCTCAGGCGTCGATCTTCACTGGCCTGCTGACCTACGAGATCTCACGCAGTGTGAATGCCGGCCTTATGGCCCCGTCGATGCAACCAACGAACTTGATCTCTGAAGGTTTTGTAGCCAGTACACGAGCATCTGTCTGTAGGTGTTACGGATCTTACAGCATCGCGTCTTGGGACATTCCTGAACACGGTGCAGCAAACAGTCTTAGTCTTAGTTTTCTCTCTGGGAGTTCCCCGCATCCCTCGCACAAGGCTACTGGAATCATGGCTGTCATTCCAGCCCATATCATGCGTTCAGTTGGAGGCGCTCCGTCGGGAAGATTGGGCTGGCAGAAAGGTACATGGCAGATGTGTGTTTCGTTGCGAATTGCTGCTAATTACGGCTAGTTCTCTCTACGTCGGCGTGCAGCTGTGCCACTCTCTGTATGTTCCTTTGTTGGAGAAACTCGTCTCGAGGGATGACCAACAGTATGGTTCGACCAGGGCCAAGGCGGACGACGACGACTACGGCTGCAGCATGCTACAGCGATATACAGCGACAACCCCTGCCTTAATTCTGGCTTCAATCCTTCTTATTCAGACTACTGATACTGTGTTCGTTTGAAAATTTCTTGTGATTGAAGCCACGCTTCGTGGCTTTCGCCTGTACTTCGTTCTCTGATGCAGCACCCAGGCTCGGCTAGACTCGTTTCTACTGCCAGGCAAGTTCGACAATGAGGCTGTCGCCATGACCGCCATTTGCATGACGTGCCTCAAGCTGCAACTGGAGAATGATAGCAGCATACACGAAGTAGGCTCTCCTATTATACAACTTGCGTTGGAGAACGGTCACCAGCAGACATGAAGTATGCTCTCCTACTATACAACTTGCATTGGAGAATAACAGCATCATGCGTGAAGTATGTTTTCCTACTATACAACTTGCTGTGCTTTGCAGAATGACAGCAGCATACGTAAATTGTGCTTTCCTGCATGCAACGCGATGCAAGCATAAGGGAGAGAGATGGAATGAGTGCCGCAAATAACACAGTGAGTCGGGCAAACGAAGGCCTGAGGGTCCTCTTGCGGACCCCTAAGCCCGGCAGAAAGAAAGAAAGAAGAGTGGCTGCGGCCTTGCCTGCGAAGATCTCGACCTTGAGCAAGGAGCGATAGGGGCAGCTGCGGCTCAGACCTGCGAACCCCCATATTCGCATATTAAAAGAGCAAAGGGAGGATAAGTAGATGTGGTTTCGTCCAGAAACAAGCATAAAGGAGAGAGTCGTTGCGGCTTTGCCTGTGAAGCTCTCGACCATAAATAAACTGCGATATGGGGGGGGCAGTGGCTGAGACCTGCGAACATTTGCGAACTCCCATATTCGCATATCACATGTACATCTCCGCTCGTTGTGTACTCTTTGCGTGCGTGCTCATCACCCTCACAGTTCGCCCTCTTGTTTTCTTATAGAGTCTCCCTCACCCATGCATGCACCACGAAAACCAGGAGCATGCATCTCCAAGTATGTAACAGTTTTGCACGTGTGTTCATCATATCTTCATTTCACGGTCCTGTCTCTGAAAATTTACCCTGACTGATGCACGCACCACAAAAACCATAAAGCACAAATGCAGGAACGTGTAATGCTTGTTTTGCAGTTTCATGTCATGAGCGAGGTTTGCCGATGTTGGAACGTGTATAGTCTCCTCGCAGCGTCATGTCATGAGTGCGGTTTGCGCATGTTGGAACACGTAGAGTGTGCAGGTTGCTCAGTTTGAACAGCAGGCACACCTGGTAAGCGTGTTACCCCTTCACAGGGGCAGCTATGCGTGTACCACCTTGAAGAGTAGCTTAGGGATAAAGCAAGTCAATCAGCAGGGGCCAGCGGAGACGGATAAGATCGAAAAGATGCAAAGGAATGGATGAGAAGATGATAGTAGCTTGCTAACCCAGCTGGTATGCTTTCGATCGTACCGCATGGGTCAATCTATTTGTGTAAGTGTAAGTGTGTGTGCGTGTGTGTGTGTGTGGGTGTGCGTGTGTGCGTGTGTGTGCGTGTGTGTGCGTGAGCCCTGATTGATTCTAAGCCAGGGGCTTTTTGGCAACCGCAGGGGATTGCAGAAGGCCGCCAGGCCGACGTACCTGCAATGTACAGTGCAGAGTGAAGCCGATTTCAGTTCCAAGATGCACATGTATGCACAGGTCAGGTTACTAAGGGATCCCAGGACTGGACGTAGCATGCCTTCAGCCGACAGATGCAATTGGTGAGCCCATTTCTCCGTGTGGGAGAGCCTTGATTTTAAGCTCAGGGTTTTTGGATGCCGCAGTCTCATTTCACGGCCTCGGCCAACGAAGCTCCGTGAGTTGAGCCAGGTAGAAGTACCTGCAGTGGTCGGCATGGGCACGAGAGTGCAGCTTGTGGCCACATCCACATCATGTACTTGAGCATGAGTGAGAGCGTGGTCATGACAGTCATGTAGAGGTAGTTACGCATGTCAGGTTATTAAGGT